CCAAACTCCCTATTGAAAATATACGCAGGGTGATTTGCATGCAATCAGATGTCAAGCAGGTACGTTTGCGACAAGGCTTATTACTCTGCTTTCTGAAATAAGCATTTTATTTTCATTTTAAAAAGGAAAGACGACTCGGTAAACTGCACTCTCTGTTTAAGATGTAACTTATAGTTTAATAAACATTTGTTTATTCTTTCAGCCTGGAGAACAAATAGTTAAAACTAGTATATCTTTTGGTTGCAGGTTGTTGCTAACTTAGTTTAGCTCAGATTTATTTTCAGAAATGTGATATGAATTGCACAAACGCATCTTCTGGGGTTTTTGTGCACACTGCAGAAAATAGAAAAGCTTATACCATCAGTAATATATGAAACATTTATGTGAATCTCGCAGGACAGTCAAAAGCAGTTTCACATTCAGTACGTCAGGACGTTCAGGAGTGAAAGGAGCTGAACAGAACTGTCACAGAAAGCATCAGTCAGAACATTTTCCAATATCATAAAACAAACATTCCCACATCGCTTTTTATTTTCTCTTTTATTTGATTGTTCTCTTTGTTCAAGCAAAACAAATATGACAAATGACAAATAGGGTATACAGTATGTTTTATTATGGAGTTTTTCATATTGATTGTTTGTTTGTTTTTTCCTCGGTTTTAGCTGTTTTTGAATTACGCATTGCATTGGGTTGTGTTTTATTGCTGAAGGAAATGTCTGTAAACTTAATGGAAAATGTACTGTTAATGTTCTGCCAGGACATACTTTTTATTTTTTTACAGATGTATTATTATTATTATTATTATTATTATTATTATTATTATTATTATTATTATTATTATTATTATTATTATTATTATTATTATTATTATTATTATTATTATTATTATTATTATTATTATTATTATTATTATTATTATGTTAACTGAAAAGTTGCTGAATAAGTATTCATACGTATAATGTAATAATTTAATTATTAATAAAAGTACATAAAATTATACGGTATTTACAAATCATAATGCATAATATTTAACAATTTTCAGAGTTGCTGAATGAATATACATACTTATATAATTTATATTTAAAATGTAATAATGATTAATAAATGTATAATGTACATAAAAGTATACAGTTTATATTTCAAATAATGCATAATATGTTTATAATAAGATTATGTAACAATATATTTATTATTATTATTATTGTTGTTGTAATGATACAAAATACTACATAATTGATGATATATAAAAGATATAGAGTTATTGAATAATTACTACTTACTGTAATAATTTAATTATTAATAAGTATAAAAGTACATAGAAGTAAACATTATTATTATTATTATTATTATTATTATACTATCAAGCTAAGACTATATAAGAGGTAATATATAGAATATATTGAACTGAAAAGTTACATAATACTTACTGTAATAATTTAATTAATAATAAAAGTTGATCAAATTATATAGTATTTCCATTTAAAATAATTTAAAGTATATGTATATTAGAAGAAGAAACTGAAAAAGTGTAGCGCCAGACACAAGTCCAATTCAAAAAAGATACATACACTTCTGGCGGTGCGTAGATCCAAAAATCGCAAAAAAACATAAATAAAAATTAGATCTGCACATGAATAATAGGCCACAAAGCTCAAATATGTTATGTATAAAGTACATGTATATTAAAATATATAAGGATAAATTAAATGTATTATTATATTAGAATACCCAAGTAATATTTATGCATAGTAAATGAATGAATGAATGAATGAATGAATGAACGAACGAACGAATGAATGCTAATATTGCTGTGGATTCACGCACTGCAGTACACTCGGGACAGAGTGCTGCCCTTTTGCTGCCACCAGAGACATTGGCACAAGGATTCGTCAGATTACTGCGCGCTGCGTAACCTGGTGGCTGATCTCATGACAGTCGGGCCGCTGGGAACAATCCTGCCTGGAGAACAGCAGCTGGTCACCTAATAATCCCTTCCCACTGCATCCTGGGAAAGGTCACACAGCCTGAGAGACATCTGTCAATCAGTGCCTTTACCACCGCTGACGAGCCAATTAACCACCGCCGGAATAAACCCAGAGAGAGTAATTACTGTTTAGAGAAGACACGCTGGCCTTTCGTAGCATTTCCTTAACTAACCGCTAACCATTTCATAACCACCAGAGGAACAGAGCGATGGCGGTGATTCTTCAGTGTGAATACAGAGTGAGTTTCCCTTATTCTTCATACACTGATGGATGTTCATTGGTGAATTTGTCATAAATACCGTAAAACCAGCCATGAATCTGGAGAACAGTTAGAGAACAACAACAGCACAAACGGAGGCGTTTTGGAATATTTATCTTCCATATCTCAAAAAAAAATAAAAAATTAAAAAACTCTCACTTCACCACAACAAATGTAGGTCAATCCTCTGCATCAGACAGACAGCATCTGAGACACACATCATAAAGCTGGCATCAACACAGAAGAGGAAAAACACTGAAACTACTTCTGTCTGGAAGACTCAAACTTTTGGAACTTTTAGTTCATGTCTACATTAGGGCTGTGCGATATGGACAAAAAAAACCTACCGCGATTTCTTTGATCAATTTTGCGATTTCGATTTTAATCACGGTTTTGACACACACAGACATGCTTTACAGTCATTAATGCATTCAGTGTGAATTTGAAACATATTTCCAAAAGAAAACCAATTAGAGCTTTATCAAGAAGCTGTAACATGTCTCTAGAACAGACATAAGGCAAAATAATCACTAAGTAAAGGTGTAACAAAATGTTTCTAGAATAGACATATGGCAGGAAAAAAACAATGCATTTTTTTTGCCATGCATTGGTCATAGAGCTCTTTGTGTCGTTGCCTCAGATGTTGAACTAGATTTGTTGCGCCAAGTTAACACGTACTCCGTCTGCAGTGCGTATACAGTATGTGTATGCGAGCGGCCTAGCGTGAGGGGAAGCCCTGGCTTAGTGTGCACTGAGGCCGGGCTAGAGTGAGCTGAGGCCGGGCTAGCGTGAGTGGAAGCGGACTCCGTCTATCTCATGACTGCTGCAGATGCACCGCTCCTGGAGCGCACTGCCGGACCGCAATCGTGTGCAGTGTGAACGCTCTGATCCGTTAAACTGGCGTTACGTTTGTATGCCCGCCCGGTCTGTTCTGTTCTCGTGCTCCATTTAGGCGCGCTGCATTCTGCTTGGTTCGGATAGCATACTGCGGGAGGTCGGGGGTGCGGAAAATTGTGCTATAAAGCAATTTAGAATTCGTGCAAGCTCAAATCGCGATTTTATGAAGATTTCGATTAATCGCACAGCCCTAGTCTACATGCTAGTCAACTTCTAAAAGATGACAACTTCTTAGCAAAATCCAAAAAAGGGATTCATCCTATCCATAGTGGTATATGCATTGCTCCTTCCTCTAAATGCCAACTAGTTGCATTAACAAGTTGCAAATCATGGTTCTGCAGACCTTAAATGTAAACTAAAGACTAAAGGCTGTTGGAAAAAAATAAATAATAATAGAGTATGTTTCACATTAAAGTTAGTTCTACTTGTTTTTCTTCATCAAGGTATAAAGTGCTGTTTTCATGTTGCATGTTTTCTTTTACACTCCCAACACAAATTACTATATTACTGTTGCTGGAGCATCTATATCATAAAACAGAGACCATATATTAACACTAAATCCTTAGACCTTTCAAAAGATAATTTGTTAACATTAATGATATTTTTAGACAGTAGTCTATCATAATAAATGTAAACAAAGTCTCCCGAACTTCCTGTTTCTCCTTTTGAAAAAGAAGTGTGCTTCTTGTAGTGCACTTTGAAGTAGTACTTCAAGTACTTTGAATCATTAAAGTAGGCTATATTAAAAATATACATATAATATAATATTAATGAATTAAAAGGTCACTTAATAGTATTTAAAGATAGACACTTTAATGACTGTTTCTTAACCCATTTAATTACACTTTTAAAAGTGCAATTTCTAACAACATCGGATTTAAAAGACTTACTTTAAAATACATTTTAAATCATTTTGTTTTAATAATAATCATGCTTTATAGAAATACACTTACTTTGATGTGTTCACTAAATAACATTCTAAAGTACTTAAAATTTAACTGTAGTGTTATTTGACATTGCATTTGATTTAAATGTACTAAATTGCAATTTCATCATTGCACGTGTATTACAAATATAGTTAAATTCATCACATGCATGTTTCAGTAGAAATGACAGTAAAAGCTTGTTCAGTGCATTCAGCAGTACACTCAATTACATCTAAATATTGAAGTGCGTCAGAACACTCTAAAGTTCAGCTTAATTGCAGCAGTTTCTGGCATAAAGTTGACTTTTCTTTCCCTTAAAAACCCAGATGAATTCAGAGATTCTGTGCACGTTGAGGGTGGATCTGACATGATCCGCGATAATAAAGAGCCCGCTGGTTATTAAATTTCCCCATCCAGAGAATTATCAATGCTTTACCTTGCTATAAAAGCAGCCGCTGGGACTCAGGTGAGAAATCTGATAACACTGTTTGTTTGACTTTCTTTTTTTTAACACTACAAAGGGTGGATGAAAACAGTTTTTCATTTTCAAAACTTTCAGACGTGAACAAATATAAAAGAGACAGAGGTCTGCAGAGAAACTTCCTTTTTTCTCAGCAGAATAAAAGAAACTTAGAAGCTTCAAAAGTGACGGTGCCCTTCACCCTATCCAACCTTACAAAATGAGAAATATTTGACAGCTCACAACAGCGAGAAAACACACTTTAGCTTGCATTATGCAAAGCTTTGCAATTACATAGCCAAGGTTGCGTCTTTCAAGTCAAGAACATGTCATCATCCCGTTACATCAGCCAAGCATTGCTTAACTGCCCTGACAAACACTCAAAATCTCAGCAATAAAAGCAGCCTGTGCATCACGTCACGGCGATTCTGAAGGATGGAAGTCCTTGGCAATGAGAAGCTGTGAGCGCTTACCTGTCTGCAGATGGAGGGCGTCCGTTGCGGGGCTTGTTGACCTGTGCGTAAAGAGCCTCTAAGGGCAAGGCCTGGTCTCGGGGGCTCTGAGAACGCTCTGGACCAGGGTTATGGCTCAGGTCCATACTGCTGTCCAGGGACGAGTCCAGAGAGCCGATCCCGGCGTAGGTGTGCTCCTCGTCGGAGCTGAAGTTTCGGCTGATGTCCTGGATCTCAGCGTAGTCTCTTTCTCTGGCCTGTCGCTCTCGGAGCTCCCTGGTCTTCGCTTGAATCCTACAGACACGAAACATCATTTGAGGTTAGATGTGTAGTGCACACTCAAGTTCAGTGGAAACATCTCTCTTTTCACACTGGTTCTGTACATTTGTGTCTTCAACATCAACACATTTACTGAACTGAAGTGAATGAACACTGAACTGACTTGAGCTGGATAATGCTGAAGAAGTTTGATTCTGTTATTTTATTCCTGTTTGTTACTGTGAAGCTGCTTTGAAACACTTTGGCCTGCTTTCACAGTCAGGGTTTAGATTAAGCCAGGTTTAGGCCATAGTTCAATTAGGACATTTAAGTAGCTTTTATAAACGTGCCTTAGAAAAATAAACATTACTGGTGTGGATCTTGAGACAAATCGATAGTACTACTAACGTATTTTAAAACAGCTCAGACATGCATTTTAGTCTGGGACTAGGCTTAAGCCTTGTCTGTGAAACCGGGGTTTGTTTTGTATAAAGCGCTATAGAAATAAAGGTGATTTGACATGACTCGTGTGAATCTAATAATGCATTCAAAAACACATAATTAAAATTCATACATGCATAATAGAGTATACCTCTTTTATAATGAATATGTTTTTGTTTGTTTATTTTCATTAAAAATGGATTTTGATATATTTTGGGGGACACAATCTAAAAAATGTAAAGGTGAATAAAACCTTAAAACAATTACTCAAAAAATAAGGTTGAGTAGTCTGGATAATCTTTTGTTTGTTTGTTTTGGCCAGTGAAGTAGTTGCTTTCAAAATATTCTAAACTTGTTCGCTAAATCAAACAGGAAATTATATCATAGAAGGTGTTTTACAATATGTTTTAATATATCTGATAATATTTTAAAAGATGAAATTATATCATAGAAGGTGTTTTACAATATGTTTTAATATATCTGATAATATGGCAAGGTTAGTTCAGTTTGGAAAATGTCATGTGGTAAAACCCCCCAAAAACATAATGATTAAGTTAAGAATTAATAATCCATGATATTAAAAAAATAATAAAATAAAATAAAATAAAATAAAGGATGATCAGAAGAAATGGACAGCACCTGAGTTAAATATATGAGTGTCACAGCAAAGGGTCTGAATACTTAGGACCATGTGATATTTCAGTTTTTATTTTTTAATAAATCTGCAAAAATGTCAACAATTCTGTGTTTTTCTGTCAATATGGGGTGCTGTGTGTACATTAATGAGGAAAAAAAATTAACAAATGATTTTAGCAAATGGCTGCAATATAACAAAGAGTGAAAAATTTAAGGGGGTCTGAATACTTTGCGTACCCACTGTATATATGTATATATATTATAATTTTTTTTTTTTCTTTTCAAAAATAATGATGATAAAACTGTACATTCAAATGCTTTCAAGGTGTAAGGTTATTGCTTGTTACTTGATGGACACACCGCATTTTTACAGTTAAACTCAGTTTCACCCAGTACTCTAGTGTGAAAATGCCCTGTGGGTTATACCTTGGGATTCATTTCCACCTTTGTGATTCTGCCCTCAAAAAGCACCATCAAAAGCAATAGCTTTTAGTCCGTCAGCAATGTGTAACATCTATTACAGCTATGAAGAGCCAAAGCTTTTATGTGAAAATGCAACGAATTGTAAGACAGACCTCTTGGTCTTGCTGAGACTCCCTACTGCACGAAAAATCCCTGAGCTCAGGACCCCTGCTGGCATCACGGGCTGCTAAACGCCTGCCAAACCTGCTTTATTTCTAGAAGCCTTTCAAAACTAGTGGACTCCTCTAAAAGAAAAAGGAAGCGAGACTGCTGAGGCCCCGTTGTTTGGTAAAGGTTGCGGCCCTTTCCTTGAAGAAGGTTGTCAATGCACAGATTCCCTAAAACAGCCAGTGGGGAACCTTCCCAAGAAGAAGGGAGTGATTTCTTCTTCACATCACTCTGATCTTCCGCCAAACGCCTCTCTCTGCCTTCCCTCTTTCTCAGGAGTTTTTCAAAGGCCAGTCCTGGTGGGCTGAACTGAATGAGTCTTTTTGTGTCTAACAGACCACATGTGTCATTCTAAGTGCTGTTGAGGGAAAGGAGATCCTCAGGAATGGGAATGGCAGTGGAAGAAGAGGAAAGGCTGGTGCGGACAGGAGAAAGTCTCCTGTAGGGTGACCTCTGTCTTTGGTACCCACCCGTCTCATCAGATCCAGATGGGCTCTGGGACTCGAGGGATGCCCCATCACAAAACCTGAGCATTTCTAAGTGTTTAAGTACCCTACCTCCTCACCACCCCAGGTCAGAGTTGACCTCTGATCCCTAACATCAATCTGTCAGTTGTTTGATTGACAGCAGTCCCGGGCCAAAAAGAGTTGTTGGATTTTCCCAGCGAGAGACTGAATGTTTCCACACTTTCTCATAAGCACAATCTAATTTAACAACAATGAGCATTTTTTCTCAGTCACAGGCTAATACAATTACAATGCCACTGACTGTCTCTCTCTCTCTCTCTCCATGCCGCTTGAGGAAATCCAACTGGCTGTGCTAGAATCGTGCGCATTTACAGTATGACTCAAGCTAATAGTCTAGGAAACACTTGGAAATCAACATCAGCATATTTCCATAGGTGTATGTGTGCATTGTGGTAGTTTTAATTTCCCTTTCTGATTTTATCCTACCTTTTGGTTTACCGGGTTCATTGCTTGAACCGTTAAGGATAAGTAAGGATGCACTGATATATCGGACAATAATCAGTATTGACTGATAAAAACAATCTGCACTGTCAGACTTCAGCCTACTGTTTAAAAACAGCCAATGATCAGGGCCGAATAAATACTGTCAATCAAAAGGGGGCGGAAAAACATCTCAGACTATAACTGGTGCATGAAGAAAATGTCTCTTGTGTCGAAGTTAGGGCTGTCAAAGTTAACGGGATAATGACACATTAATGCAATCTCACTTCAAAACAATAGCGCAGTTGACAGATTCTATTTGACATTGTGGATCACATGTATTTCAAGCCAGGGTTGCCAGATTCACAGTTTTTCCCTTCACCAAACAACGTGCCTCTCATCTAATAATCGCAACGAGCTTTATGCTTATTACTTCTGATTAGAAACTAAGTCTAAGCTCTCAAATTCTGTTTATTTTATCGCAAAATTCAACAATAAATGCCGTTTTGGCGTGCTTAGGGGCCAGAACTCGTCTTTGCGTCTTAAAACATGAGACGCAGCACTCAGGAATGGTTTAAAAAAAAAAAGCAACGCAGAATGCCGCCTCCACCATGTTTTCGGCAAATAAAACATTTGCCATGCCAACTTGCTACTATACACAAAATCATGCAACGCGTGCCCCGCCTCCTGGGTCTTCTGATTGGTCCACTGTTTTGAAACTCAAACTGATGAGCGGGACTGCGTGTAAAAGTTGAAATTCTTTTAACTTTACACACTGTCTTAAAAATGCGGCGCTCATGTGCGAGACGCTGCTAAAGAAGCAGGACACAATGGTCATCCTTGTCCGTTTTGAGCATTTACATAGATAAACAATGGAAAAGTAGAGCATTGGAATGAAAAAAAAAACGCATTCTTTGTGAACGGCCCCTTAAATGTGGCATGACAGAATACTGTAACGCTTCAATTCAAGCGGCAGCGCGGATCTCTTCCTCTTTAATAAACATGCATGAACATCAGAAAATATTGAAAGACACAGTACAACTTTCTGAAACGTTTCATTGCTCGTTTTTTGTTTAAACCGCAGAAAGACAGCTTAATAACAATATTTAACTTAATGTTTACCTCAGGAAATTACCAGTGTTCACAGTTGGTTAGTTAGTTCTAAAAACACTAGAGAGGAGCTTATTTACTGTCAAGTATATATGTATGTTGTATACAAAATTTAATTTTGATTTAAGTGTGATTATTTTATCTGAATATATATATATATATATATATATATATATATATATAGCTACAAAGGTACACTAGTGTATCTCCAAACAACATATTGAATCTCATATAGCTCCTCTTCCATTTGAATTGAATGTCTCAGTATATAGAGATTTGTGCTGCAGGCTGATATATATATATATATGTGCGTGTGTGTGTGTGTGTGTGTGTGTGTGTGCGTGTGTGTGTTCCTTAAGAAAACCAAACTACACTGGAAAAAAATGGGGTTGAAACAATTTTCACTTTTACAATTAATTACAAAGAACTGGCAAGTAACAGATGATTTTTTGAAGTATAAAGACTTAAAAAGTATTTTCTTGTAAAACATACTCTAATGATCTTTGTTTTATGCATTTTTAAAATAATTTCTTACAAGTGTATCAGTATAAGCAGATGTCATTCTGAATAATCAGCTATTGGTATCACCAGAGAAATTTAGTATCTGTGTATCTCTAGTTACAACTTGTTTCTTTGGCATTTGAAGGCTGATATCTTACGCTGTGAGGCCGCCGTTCACCTGCTGTCCACTTAAAAACTGATGTCACTTCGCTGCCAGTAAAAACCGTGTTAGGACAAGTTACAGAAACTCAATAGGAGGACGAGGCCTCCGGCGCTGTGCCTATAATGGCCAAATCAAATCTGCGAGAGCGTTATCTGTGTTTGAATGAGGTAATGAGCACACTGAAGTACAGGTCCAGTCTAACCTGTCCCTGGAGTACTGGACTGAAACTCATTTAGCGCGGTGGCCTGGGGATGAGAAGTGGGCCGTGTGGCTCTGTGTGTGTTTTGTGTATGACAGAAGGTTAACTTCAGGTTGAAAACCAGTACGGTGAAGACACTGATCTGGGCTATGAGATTCTTTTTAACACCGTATCCTATAATCAGCCACAAGGCAAAATCATTGCACGACGAGGCATTTTGCTCGGTTTCTATTTTTATTGTGGGTCAATGGTAGATCCATGCACAGTGGAGTGTTATTTTATTATTATTTCTACAGTCAAACCAAAATGTATTCAGACACCTTCAACATTTCATGCATTATCACAGTTTATTCGCTATAGTTTAGAAAATGGTAATACAATATGACAAGAACTCAGAGTTAAACTGTGT